GGGTGAGCCTAGGCTAGCATGTGGTGAGAAAGAAAAGTACTTGAACTCCAGAGTTGAGAGGTCACTCAAGGCCAAGGCTAAATTTAGTCTTAGCATAGAAGGATATAATATAGTGAATATGTTTGTATAAAGGGCATCAAGGCTTACTCATTGGGCATACATGTAAGAGCAAATGCCTTTGATGCTTCAGTGTAGTTTAAGCTCTGGACGAAGGAGCCAGTGGAGAACAATGGTCGAGACGGAGATGAGCCATGGGTGGATGTGGGATAAGCCTGGAGTAGATCTAGGGTGAGCAATGGGCAAGTCTTGGAGTGAGCTATTGGTGGGTGTGGCTTTAGCTATGGGTGGGAGTGGTACGAGTCAAGCCTAGGGTAGATCTAGGGTGAGTCATGAGCGAGTATGAGGTGAGCCATAGGTGGGTGTTGAATGAGCCAGAGAAGCATCTTGAGTCAGCCATGGGAGAACCGAGGATGAGCCATGGGAGAGCCGAGGATGAGCCATGGGAGAACCGAGGATGAGCCATGGGAGAACCGAGGATGAGCCATGGGTGCATGGGTCCCGGGTGAGCCATGGGTAGATCTTGAGTGAACTATGGGTGAGACATACTATAGGCGGGTCAAGAGTCAGCCATGGCTGAGGCATGGATGAGACTCGTGGGAAGATACTGGGCTTACATGTGGTGAAGTCACTGAGGAATATAAACACATTTACTAAGTATTATGAGAGACCTTGGGTGAGTTAGGGGTTTGAATATCTTGCATGTACTATGCCATCTGTGTACATAGGCTTGCAGGGTTGGAGATAACCAAAACAAGTAAGCTAGTGACAAACACTAATTATATTCATCCATCAATCTACGTTATACCAGGGTATTGTATAGCATTTATGAAAATGAAGAATAATACTGTAAATATTACGACATTTTTTTTTAGCATAACTAGAGATTATAGAAAGTGTTCCCATGTGACAAAAATTCAATATTTGTTGATGTTTACTCAACAACCAATTAGGCCTTGACTTTGTATCTCAGCTTCATGAATAGATTGATTTCAAAATTAGCATTCGTGCACAACATTCCATTCACTTGAGGAAACTTTACTAATATACAATACATAATAAATAAGCTAATTATAGATAGTATGCAAATTAGCTAATTAAATGCACTGATTAATTTGAGCTATTATAATAAATTCATCTACACAAACAGCAAGCATTTATCAATTTTAAAATTAAAAGATGCACAAGGAACAGCTCAAGTTGGTAAATTTGTAATGTAGATTATTCAATTAATATGCAGATTTGGACCAAAATCCAATCAGATCGGATGTTTATCATAAAATATCTGTGTAGCAAATTCCATTCAGTTCAGCCAGTGGTTCTTGGTATAACGATGGAGCATACATGACATATCCCCCGGTAGACAGACATCAGTACAACAATACCTTATGTGTACACAGGCTGAGACTAAAAAATTACTCCTTTTATTATTACTTTTAGAAATTACTTTGTGATCTCAAATCTGAAACTTGATAGATAAATTTATAGATTCTGGATCCTTGTTATTTTTCCTACTCCACTCATACTTTGGGAAAATGTAGTACAAGCCAGAGTTCAGTATTATATGAATTAACGCAAATGAAACAAAAAGAAACACTTCTTGTAGATCAAATCAAGAGCACATATTGTAGAACAAATTGTTGGTTGGAGCCAATGATCCAATCAAAATGAAGCAAACCAATTGGTCGGCTTACTGACTTCTGAAATATCCCAATTTTTGCTATACGAGAAAAATAATACCAACTTATCTGATTATCAAAAACCTCTTCAAAAACCCTGTATAATGCACAAACAATAATGTCTGCATTTTAAACTGAAGTTTTTATTTTTTTTCACTTGAAGAAGATGCCTGAATAGTGTAATATACAAGCAGCAAATTACACCACACTCATCTGATGGTAAAAATATGGTTCCATAAAAGAGTCATCGTCTGTGATGATGTATAGGTATTTATCAAAAGATGAAGGGAAAACAAAGTTGCGGTACATTGCTGAAGGTGATGTGGGTTGGCAATCATACGAAAAAGGCAAAGCAATAAAACGACAGGCACTTCAAAAAAAAGAAATATAAATAAACCATTCCAAGTAAAGATTAACCACACTTAATATCACTCCCTTTGAACAAATTTTACCGATCTTATTTTAACACTGTCTTTATGACCATGCTTTACGAGTCGTGCAACAAATACTGTCATAAAAATGTGCATCACTGTAATTTGTTTTTATTTCCATGTTTAAAGACAAGTGATGATATTGAGCAATTAAGGCTCAGCTACATAACACTTCCTGTTTTTGTTAATTTCATAGAAGTCATCAAACAAAGGCTAGCCAACAAGAAAAGGTCTCTCAGCTAACAAAGGTGTCCAAGAAAGACAGGGTAGGCCAGGGCCCGATAAACTTGCTAACAGGTAACTGGTAACACCACAAAGGATCAACCCCCTACCTGGGCAAGTGTGTCTCAATAGGGAGGCTAAAACCACTGGCTGAGATTCATTCAGAGATGGATAGGTAGTAAAGCCAACCACCAAACCTAGCCAGACAGTAAAGCCAACCAGTAAAGTCAACCAAACAGTAATGCCAACCAGCAAAACCAACCAGCGAAACCATCCAGACAGTAAAGCCAACCAGTAAAGCCAACCAAACAGTGAAGCCAACCACCAAACCTAGCCAGACAGTAAAGCCAACCAGAAAAACCAGTTACACAGCAGGCAAGCAAAAAACCAGCTAGCCAGTCTACAAAGCCAACCCACGCAGTCATCTAAGTCAACAAGCAAAGCCAGCCAACCAACAGTCAGCAAGCATAGGCAACCTGTCAGCAAGGCCAGTCAGCAAGGCCAACCAGTAGATCACTAAAGACAGCCAGCAAGCAAAGGAATCTAGCAAAACAAGCCAGCAAAAGGACCAAGCACAGCCTGTCAGCATTTAGCCAACCAGCAAATCTAGCCCATCTGTTAGTCAGCTAGCAAAGCCAGTCAGAAAAGCCAGCCAGCAAATGAGCAAAATTTGATAAACATTATACGTATATCAATCATGGCATAGGTTGAAAAATTCATAATAACTAACAGAGAACAGCTTATTGTTTTAAATTATTATTATTATTAAATTATTTTCATTTATCTATGAAATTATCATTGAGTTGTGGGCTGAAAAAACAAACACACTAGTATATAACTTCAAATTTTTTAGAGTCAATGGCAGAAAACCTATCGGCTTGATTTGAAAATACTTCCAATTCAAAACTATATACACAAGAGAGTCATAATGTTTAAAAGGAATATTTTAAAATTTCAGTTACTATGGAGACAAGAATGTGGAATCAATCATTTTTCATTAAGCCACCTTGCAACAATTTATTATACGGCAAATGAGCAGAATTGTATAAATATTTGTTTTAACAGCACAACACAGTTATATTTGTGAGCCAGGGAT